GTTAATATTTCTTACTGATGAAATTTTGGCTCCCTTTTAGGAGTATGTTTAATGATCCAAATTTTAACAGGCCTTTTTTTAGCAATACATTATACTGCTGATATTGAAACAGCTTTTTCATCAGTCGTCCATATTTGCCGTGATGTTAATTATGGATGGGTTATTCGAAACACACACGCCAATGGCGCATCCCTATTTTTTATATGCCTGTTTATTCATATTGGACGGGGAATTTATTATAGTTCTTATCTTTATTTAGAAACATGAATTATTGGTATAATATTATTAATAATAGTAATAATAACAGCTTTTGTAGGGTATGTTTTACCATGAGGTCAAATGTCTTTCTGAGGTGCTACGGTTATCACTAATATACTCTCAGCTGTACCAGAATCGGGAGAAAAATTAGTGCAGTGAATTTGAGGAGGTTTCTCAGTAGATAATGCAACATTAACACGGTTTTTTGCATTTCATTTCATTTTTCCTTTCATTATTTTTGCTTTAATAATACTTCATCTTTTATTCTTACATGAAACAGGTTCCAATAATCCAGTAGGTTTAAATCCTAATATAGATAAAGTGTCATTTCACCCTTACTTTTCAGAAAAAGATATCTTAGGGTTTGTTATAATTTTAACAGTTTTAATAACTCTAGCCTTATTTTTCCCTAATTTTCTTAGGAGACCCAGAAAATTTTACTCCTGCTAACCCTTTAATCACACCCCCTCATATTAAACCCGAATGATATTTTTTATTTGCTTATGCAATCCTACGGTCAATTCCCAATAAGTTAGGAGGAGTAATTGCTCTACTACTGTCGATTCTTGTTTTAATTACTACTCCCTTTTTACACACATCCAACCAACGAACAATAACATTTCGTCCCCTCGCACGAGTTATATTTTGATTTTTAGTTGCAGATCTATTTATTTTAACATGAATTGGAGGCATACCGGTAGAAACCCCTTTTATCCTTATTGGACAGCTATCTTCTGCCTTTTACTTTTTATATTTTTTATTATTCTTTCCTTTAATTGGTTATGTAGAAAATAATATTATTTATAAACATTACTATAATAGCTTAATTTAAAGCATTGGTTTTGTAAACCAAAGACAGATGTTGAACTCATCTTTATTGTAATTAAATATTGTAATAAGCCATTGTAGCTTAAGTAAAGTATAGTGCTGAAAACGCTAAGACAGATCCTAAAAAGTTCTCGGTGGCTACACTCAAAAGAGAGAGATTTTAACTCCCACCACCAGCTCCCAAAGCCAGTATACTTATATACTATCTTTTGAAGAATTGCGAGATGTTGTTGAGGTATGTTTGATTTAAGAGGGTAATTTGTGTTTAAAATGCTTCCCCCCCGGGCCTAAATATAAAATAGTTGGTTATCTTAACCCTAAAGATTCTTGGTTAAAAGAAAAGATAGGTGTTGAAAAAGAATATGTTTCAGCTTATAGAGGTAAATGTACTTTAACCATATTAGAAAAACTAATATTTGATTATAATGCTTTTGCATCCAATTCTAGGCGATACTAATAATTTGTATTAATAAGGGGCCTTAATCTTTAAATAGGGTTGAGTTCAGAATTGCGAGATGTTGTTGAGGTATGTTTGATTTAAGAGGGTAATTTGTGTTTAAAATGCTTCCCCCCCGGGCCTAAATATAAAATAGTTGGTTATCTTAACCCTAAAGATTCTTGGTTAAAAGAAAAGATAGGTGTTGAAAAAGAATATGTTTCAGCTTATAGAGGTAAATGTACTTTAACCATATTAGAAAAACTAATATTTGATTATAATGCTTTTGCATCCAATTCTAGGCGATACTAATAATTTGTATTAATAAGGGGCCTTAATCTTTAAATAGGGTTGAGTTCAGAATTGCGAGATGTTGTTGAGGTATGTTTGATTTAAGAGGGTAATTTGTGTTTAAAATGCTTCCCCCCCGGGCCTAAATATAAAATAGTTGGTTATCTTAACCCTAAAGATTCTTGGTTAAAAGAAAAGATAGGTGTTGAAAAAGAATATGTTTCAGCTTATAGAGGTAAATGTACTTTAACCATATTAGAAAAACTAATATTTGATTATAATGCTTTTGCATCCAATTCTAGGCGATACTAATAATTTGTATTAATAAGGGGCCTTAATCTTTAAATAGGGCTGAGTTCAGAATTGCGAGATGTTGTTGAGGTATGTTTGATTTAAGAGGGTAATTTGTGTTTAAAATGCTTCCCCCCCGGGCCTAAATATAAAATAGTTGGTTATCTTAACCCTAAAGATTCTTGGTTAAAAGAAAAGATAGGTGTTGAAAAAGAATATCTAATGTACTTTTTGAAAGGTGCTTTGATGTGACCACTGGAAATGTTGAGTGAAATACCCCTTAAAACACACGCGTGTACCCTCCTATTTGATTATTAAAATTATCAACAGTTTTGTGGCCACTGGAAATGCTGAGTGAAATTCCCCCAAAAAAAAAAGGAACCCCTAACGCAAACAAGAACGCGAAGCATGCTGAGTTAAGAGCTGGATATGTTTACAAAGCTAATACCCCCCCTGCATCCCTTGCCGCATGCTACAAATAATTAGGTAAATTTTAAATCCTTGATCTTGAGGTGGTGTAGAGCCAATATGCCGGGAATAAAGTGTTTAATTTGTTTTTTTTACTAAAGGTACGTGATTCTATCATGCATGATATATTTTACAATAAGCTGGTGGTTGATTTTTGAAAGAGTACATGTGTATTTTATTAGGTGTTGAAAAAGAATATCTAATGTACTTTTTGAAAGGTGCTTTGATGTGACCACTGGAAATGTTGAGTGAAATACCCCTTAAAACACACGCGTGTACCCTCCTATTTGATTATTAAAATTATCAACAGTTTTGTGGCCACTGGAAATGCTGAGTGAAATTCCCCAAAAAAAAAAGGAACCCCTAACGCAAACAAGAACGCGAAGCATGCTGAGTTAAGAGCTGGATATGTTTACAAAGCTAATACCCCCCCTGCATCCCTTGCCGCATGCTACAAATAATTAGGTAAATTTTAAATCCTTGATCTTGAGGTGGTGTAGAGCCAATATGCCGGGAATAAAGTGTTTAATTTGTTTTTTTTACTAAAGGTACGTGATTCTATCATGCATGATATATTTTACAATAAGCTGGTGGTTGATTTTTGAAAGAGTACATGTGTATTTTATTAGGTGTTGAAAAAGAATATCTAATGTACTTTTTGAAAGGTGCTTTGATGTGACCACTGGAAATGTTGAGTGAAATACCCCTTAAAACACACGCGTGTACCCTCCTATTTGATTATTAAAATTATCAACAGTTTTGTGGCCACTGGAAATGCTGAGTGAAATTCCCCCAAAAAAAAAAGGAACCCCTAACGCAAACAAGAACGCGAAGCATGCTGAGTTAAGAGCTGGATATGTTTACAAAGCTAATACCCCCCCTGCATCCCTTGCCGCATGCTACAAATAATTAGGTAAATTTCAAATCCTTGATCTTGAGGTGGTGTAGAGCCAATATGCCGGGAATAAAGTGTTTAATTTGTTTTTTTTACTAAAGGTACGTGATTCTATTATGCATGATATATTTTACAATAAGCTGGTGGTTGATTTTTGAAAGAGTACATGTGTATTTTATTAGGTGTTGAAAAAGAATATCTAATGTACTTTTTGAAAGGTGCTTTGATGTGACCACTGAAAATGTTGAGTGAAATACCCCTTAAAACACACGCGTGTACCCTCCTATTTGATTATTAAAATTATCAACAGTTTTGTGGCCACTGGAAATGCTGAGTGAAATTCCCCAAAAAAAAAAGGAACCCCTAACGCAAACAAGAACGCGAAGCATGCTGAGTTAAGAGCTGGATATGTTTACAAAGCTAATACCCCCCTGCATCCCTTGCCGCATGCTACAAATAATTAGGTAAATTTTAAATCCTTGATCTTGAGGTGGTGTAGAGCCAATATGCCGAGAATAAAGTGTTTAATTTGTTTTTTTTACTAAAGGTACGTGATTCTATCATGCATGATATATTTTACAATAAACTGGTGGTTGATTTTTGAAAGAGTACATGTGTATTTTATTAGGTGTTGAAAAAGAATATCTAATGTATTTTACAATAAATTAAAGTGTTTTAAGCACCCACGTAAAATTATTCTACTAACTAACACACATAAATGTATTTACAATAAATTAAAGTGTTTTAAGCACCCACGTAAAATTATTCTACTAACTAACACACATAAATGTATTTTACAATAAGTTAAAGTGTTTTAAGCACCCACGTAAAATTATTCTACTAACTAACACACATAAATGTATTTTACAATAAATTAAAGTGTTTTAAGCACCCACGTAAAATTATTCTACTAACTAACACACATAAATGTATTTGACAATAAATTAAAGTGTTTTAAGCACCCACGTAAAATTATTCTACTAACTAACACACATAAATGTATTTTACAATAAATTAAAGTGTTTTAAGCACCCACTTAAAATTATTCTACTAACTAACACACATAAATGTATTTTACAACAAATTAAAGTGTTTTAAGCACCCACATAAAATTATTCTACTAACTAACACACATAAATGTATTTTACAATAAATTAAAGTGTTTTAAGCACCCCCGTAAAATTATTCTACTAACTAACACACATAAATGTATTTTACAATAAATTAAAGTGTTTTAAGCACCCACGTAAAATTATTCTACTAACTAACACACACAAATGTATTTTACAATAAATTAAAGTGTTTTAAGCACCCACGTAAAATTATTCTACTAACTAACACACATAAATGTATTTTACAATAAATTAAAGTGTTATAAGCACCCACGTAAAATTATTCTACTAACTAACACACATAAATGTATTTTACAATAAATTAAAGTGAGTGTAGCCACCGAGAACTTTTTAGGACCTGTCTTAGCGTTTTCAGCACTATACTTTACTTAAGCTACAATGGCTTATTACAATATTTAATTACAATAAAGATGAGTTCAACATCTGTCTTTGGTTTACAAAACCACTGCTTTAAATTAAGCTATTATAGTAATGTTTATAAATAATATTATTTTCTACATAACCAATTAAAGGAAAGAATAATAAAAAATATAAAAAGTAAAAGGCAGAAGATAGCTGTCCAATAAGGATAAAGGGGGTTTCTACCGGTATGCCTCCAATTCATGTTAAAATAAATAGATCTGCAACTA